CTGGGCGGAATTAGGCCCTTCACTTACCCGATATGTTTTTTTTATTTATTTAATCGGCACCGCTTATCAAGGCCTCCCGCGACATCATTTTTACATCTGCGGTACCGTTTTAATTCTCCGCGATGCCGCTTGTCTCCATGCGGTACCGCTTCTCCCCTTCCGACAAGGAATAAAAATAATAATAATAATAATAACTCCTTTTCCAACACCAATACTACGCGCGCGGCCCCATCCTGTTTTCTGGCAAACAATGTCGTTTCAAGTACCGCGGTACCGCCGAGCCTCTTCGCGGTCTCGTTTAAATTCTCCGCGGTATTGCTTAACACCATATGACATCGTTTTGGCTATGCGATATCGAATTAAATGCCGAGACTCATTATTACGGCATTGAATTTAGGCCAAAAATATTTTAGGTGTAAACAATGCCCCCACAACTTGGTTTATAAGAATTTATGAACCAAGTTGTTGACATAATTTAATCACCTCACCTAAAATATTGTCTAAAATTAACCACAAATAAGCTCGTTGGAAGAGAACTTGAGGCTGCAGTAGTATTGTGGTGAAGATCCAACGTTGGCCTACTTACTGTAGGAATTTGGTTTGTCATGCAATCACAATTTGCCAAACCATGGGATTGAAATTCTCACTACATGCAGTATCTTTGGTTAGGCCAACTCGAAGGCCATTTGGTTCTTTCTTTTTGGCATATGCTTAGCCAAACCCTAGCCAACTAAAACCCACCGAGAATTCATGCAATGCAATGTTCACTTTAGACATACATGTGTTTTGGTTTTCATGCGTCTTGGCCTTAGCAACGTTGTGGTTTAGATTTTGCAATAACAATGATGACCCTGTTTTTACTCTAGACCGGTAGCAGCCGAACAAACCTGTTCTAGTTGTCTTTGGCATGCACAACAACGATAGAAATAAAAGGAATTATTGACCTTTCTCTAGACGGAGACGGAAGAATAAAGAGGACCAGCAGTACTACAAGCCTGCAAAAACTCAACCTTCTCGGCACTCCACGCCAGCGCATAGCCCAACAAAGCAGTTTTTTCTTTCCGTTGTCTTTGTTCCGCAGCGTTGTTTTTCTACTAGGCCCAAACTAAATCCCCAACAACGTAGTTGTTGCCTCAGCAGCGCTGCAATTTTTATTTATTTATTTTATATATATTGTTCCCCTTCCCGCAAAGCTACCTCTTCGAACAACACTGATTCCTTTCTTCTTTCTCGCCACAACGTTGCTTTGGCGACAATAACTCTTTTTTTTTATTGTGGCCGGTTGTGCGGGCTCTCAGCGCTGTTTTGGCCAAAATTTATTTATTGTTTTTTTTATATGCGGCCATTAAAAAATTATATATTATATATTTTTTATTTGGCCACAATATTCCAACAACGTAAACATTGCTTTTATTCCCACAAGACTGCTTGTCCCAAAACGGGTTCGTTTCCCTCTTTTCTTCACTCCTCACAAGATCAGTGTTGTTGGTCCAGGGCACTAGGATAGGAGCAGAACACAAAAAGAAATTCCACACCGCTGCAACCCTTTCGCGGCACCGCTTTGGCCAAAACAATTGTGTTGTGGTTTTCTTTTTAATTCATATTTGGCCAACTAACAGTCACGCCAACAAAATTTCAACCACGTTTTGGCCACAAGAAAAATCTGACTGGTGTACTTGCACCCATAACCTTGCTCACGCCTCACAGTGCTGCTTTGGGAGAGACACTCAGAGTAAAACAAGGTTGTTTCACGGCAATAGTATAGTCTCCCACCCAACAACTCTAGATCTCCTATACAACCCTGCAGCGGCCGCAGCGCTGCCTTAGCCCAAAACAGACTTGCTTTTGTAGACTCCCACAGCATTGCCAAGGCCAAACGGTAGTGTTTTGAATTTTCTTTTATTTAAACAAAAATATCAAACAGCCGTATGTTTTTAGTGTCACCTATGCTGGCAGCTCCGCAATGTTGTTTTTCCGCAACAATATTGAACTACTAGCCGCAATGCTGTTTTGGCTGAAACGACTGCGTTTAACTAAATCCTTTTTTTTTTTACTGCCGCTTTAGATTTGTTTTGCTCATTGCTGCGGCGACTAAAATTACATCGCCACCAATGTGGTTGTTAACCCTCATCACCGCTGGCCTTTTATCTTCCTTGCCACAAACCAGCAACCAGTGCCAACAACGTCGCAAAACCTCAACAAAAAATATATTTTATTATTTGCTATATGGCCTTGGTACTTCAACAACATTGCTCTTGTAATTTTTTTTGGATTTTTTCTTTATTTATTTTTAACTTGGCCCAAAGTGAGTCCCAAATATCATCAACGTCGTTGGCCGCTTTGTTCCAAAGTCTAAACGACAGCGTTTCCATCATTTTTTTTTCAACGTTGCTCAAAGGAACAAAACGACAATGTTCCATTATTATTATTCGATGCCACCAATCAGCCAACAACGATGGACTGCATCACTGCTTATCGCTTAGGCTCGGTGGTGCTGGCATTTTATTTTCAACGACATTGTTTATCCCTCTATCACTGTTGAGACAAGAGAAAACAACACCGTTTGCCATCTTGAACCATCAACAACACCGACTTCTTCTTAACAATGTCGCTTGATTATATTTTTATAATAATATTTTTTTTCTTTTCTTCTTTTTTTTTGTATATTACGTGGCCTAAATTAGCCACATATTTATTTTAATAGTAGTTAAACAAAACAGGGTTGACATTGGCATAAACCATCCTACCAAAAGCCCAAACCCACTGCCAACTCCACATATCAAACCAAACAAGCCATCCATAAATTCTCTGAATCGTTGGTTTCACACACGTTGGTTTTGATATTTTGGAATCAATGTTGGTTTGCAACTCCCCAGTTTGCTACTACAGCGGTACCGTTTGGCTTACTCGCGGTACCGTTTTTAATTAAACGACACCGCTAACATAGCCAAAAAATTCCAATTCATTGAACCGCCGAGAGTTTGCACTCGCATTGGGCTGTGCGGAATTAGGCCCTTCACTTACCCGATATGGTTTTTTTTATTTATTTAATCGGCACCGCTTATCAAGGCCTCCCGCGGCATCATTTTTACATCTGCGGTACCGTTTTAATTCTCCGCGATGCCGCTTGTCTCCATGCGGTACCGCTTCTCCCCTTCCGACAAGGAATAAAAATAATAATAATAACTCCTTTTCCAACACCAATACTACGCGCGCGGCCCCATCCTGTTTTCTGGCAAACAATGTCGTTTCAAGTACCGCGGTACCGCCGAGCCTCTTCGCGGTCTCGTTTAAATTCTCCGCGGTATTGCTTAACTCCATATGACATCGTTTTGGCTATGCGATATCGAATTAAATGCCGAGACTCATTATTACGGCATTGAATTTAGGCAAAAAATATTTTAGGTGTAAACAGTTTCGTAACATGAGACTAAGGGGAGAAATGCCAGGGTGAAGTCATCTCAACTAGAATTCTCCATAATTTACTTTCTTTGCTTGCTTGTTTACTTTGTAGTTTTCTTAGTTTTAAACTCGAAACCGTTTGGTAGATAACAACCTAAGCGATTGAAGTAGGGGTACATAGACCAATCCGGGTTGACATTTTATAACGCTTGCCCTATACTGCACCCTACTAGAGTAGTAGAGTACTTGAGTTTATATTTGGGTTTAATCGGGATTTTTTTTGTGGTAGTTGAAGTGGGCCAGATGATTTTATGTTAAACCGTGTGAAACCGTTTAGTTTATCAATAATCATCCAAGCAATAAACCCAATGTTGTCAAAGCCGAGTCGGCCGAGCCGCCAAAACCGCCACTCGGCCATAAAACCGGCTCGACCCAGCTATTTAGCCGGAGTGGTTCTTTGGGGCGGTCGGCGAGCGGCCGAAGCGGTTAACCGCTCGAGCAGCTCGGCCGGCTTTTACCATTTGGGCCGGTTGCTTTAATTAAAAAAAGTATATCAAAAATGAAAATGAAAGGGGAGGGGAGGCTGCTGAAAACGTAACCCTAATTGACATTGAGGCATTCATTTCTTCTCCCCCTTCGCGGAGCAGCCAGACACGAAGAACGGAAGAAGAGCAGAGCCAGTCGCCGTTCGCTGGTCCCCGTCGCCGTTCGCGGGTCCCCGTCGCCGTCTACGTTCGCGGGTCCCCGTCGCCGTCTCCGTTCGCCGTCTCCGTTCGCCATCGGCCGTCGCCATCCCTCGACGCCACTCCCCTGTCGCCTGTCGCCATCGTTGGCGGCGGCAGTTCGTTCCCCTGCATCGACTCTCCTCTGCATCGACTCTCTCCCTCTCCCCTGTTGCCTCTCCCCTGCTGCCCTACATCGACTCTCTCCCTCTCCCCTGCTGCCTCTCCCCTGCGGAGAGGGAGATCCGGAGAGCGCTTCAGGCGCAGCAGATGGTGGCCGACGAGCAACCTGGTGGCGATTTGGGAGTGAAAGAGGAAGAGGGTGGAGAGTATCAAGGTCAAATAGAGGAGGGTATTTGTCCATTTCGAAGCAGTTAGGGATTCCATTGTTTCTTTAACAAACAACGGGAGAATTGAGACAGCTGGATCGGAGGTCGAGTGGTCAAATTGGGGTTCGAGTCGCCGCTCCGTGGTTTTCCCAGTGGTGAAAGCTATAAGCTGTTATGTTCATCTGCTGACCCGTGAGGTTTCCTATTTCATTTAGCAATTTTTGTTTACTTGATTGAGTTATTTAGAAGTTTCAGAATGGTAGTGTTAGATGACTGTTTATTAGGTACCGGTTTTTAAACGGTCTAATGCCGGCTGGACCACTAATAACGAGTCGTTCACGTTACCGGGTCATACTCCGGCTCGGCTTTGACAACATTGAATAAACCAGACCGCTATTGTAACTAATTTAGTGATTCTAGTGGTCCAACCGTTGATCCGCTTATAACAATGCTTATTTATGTATTATAATTATGAAAAATAAGTTACGGATCTGCTCCCAGTAAAAAAAAAAAGAAAATCGTGAGATACTTTCCTTCTTGGTTTCAATCCGAATCCGGTTCCCCCACCCGTACTCAGTCTCTCTCCTCTCAGCACGTGCTTTCTCTCGCTCTGCAAAACGGGAGAAGAATAGCGAAAATACAAAAAACAAAAAAAAAATACAAGGAAGAAATTTCATACCGCAGCTCCGACGAAGAGCAGCTGCAGCCTGCAGAGCCGCACCGGAGAGGACGCCGGGAAAGCCTATTCATGACGACGTCGTCGTAGAAGACCAGCACGCCGAGAGAGAGAGAGAGAGTGAGAGAGGGAGCGGGACAAGGACGGGAACGAGAGGGGGGCAATAACGCCGAAGAGCGCAATCAGAGATCTGCTAAATGCACGCCTCTAAACGGATTCCGAGCAGCGGTCACACGTCGCCGTCGCCGCCACAGTCTCCCCTCCGTTCTCCTCGCTACCGAGGGCGGTCCAAGCCTGGCCGGTTCCCTCCGGCGGCGGCTCACCCGCCTGGTCGCACTCTAGCTCATCGCCTTGCTTGGCTTCTCCTCTCCGTTCTCCTCCGTCGCCAGGGGATTTTCTTGTTCGCCCCGCTTATCTACATCTCGGGAATGCTTCTCTACATGGGGACTGTGTCCTTCGATGTCGTCCCCCAGATTTCTCATAGGCCTGCTCCTGGTTCGGTTTATAAGAGCCCCCTCATTTATGAGAAGCTCCGACCTGAAATGGATGCCGATAATTCTTCTGCTGATGCGGTGAGTTCATGTTCCTCCTTACCTTCTTTCCTCTGCTTTCTGAGAGCCAATTTGAAGGCCACTCTACTTTGGCATTCAGAGAATTTTGAATCTGAAAACGTTAGGAGTGAATGAAGCTTGGATAAAGATTTGTTGATGCTCTTTGAATCGACCAATTCTATGTAACTGTGATGCCCTAGATCACTTGAGTTATCTCTTCTCGGATGGTGTTTCTGCCGAAGCTACTCGGAATTCACTTTTGTTTCTATTCTTATTCTCTAGTTCCTAAAATTGCTGCATTTGCTCCTCACTATGAGAATAGCAATACTTCAAGGAATGCCGAGGAGTGAATACTGTCTGTCTTGGAACCTCGTTATCTAAGGAATCGGGCTGGTGAAAAGGAGTTTCATATATCTCAGGTGGCTGTGGTGGATAACTTCTAGGACAAAACTGATTGCAGCAAGCTATGTATTGACTTGGCTTGTTGGATGACGGTTGATGCAGTGCAAGGTTTCGACAGTTAAAATCGTTTTTGCTGGTTGTAGGACGTGACTCTTGGTTTAGCGTGCAGTGAAGCCCAGAATATATATTGTAGTTATTCTTAATTTGATGTTATGTTGCCTTTGTGTTACATATCTAATTGCTTTTTCAAAGTGCAGAGCCACATTCTTCTTTTGATGCCAAAATCTATGTCTACGCCTCCTCTGTCAAAATAGGAACTTACTAATACGTACTATGGTGGAGAAGCTATGTTATGCTTTGACTCGACCTTGGAACGGTTGAATGTGCCGTGTCGTATATTTGAGTCTTTGACTACCTCTCTTCAAGGGTGTAGTTTTATTGGGAAAACTAAAGGGCCCGCTATTGGTGCCATTCAAACTATTCAGCATGTGTATTGATTTCCTAAAGAATGCATCATTTAGTTGAAATAATTATGATTGGGCTGAGACAAAGGGGATGTGAATGTGGCATCTCAAGAGGACATGCTAATAAAGTCCTCTTAAGGATACTTGGAACCGGTCTTAAGTTTCCAACTGACATTTCTTTTGCATTTGGCTTTCCTTTCTATGACTGCATTCTCATTTGCGGCATCCATTTTTCCCTTGTTGCTACTTTGCCACTGACATTGAATATTGAATATCTTGCAGCTATTAACTATATGGAAAAATTCGTACAAAAGTGGCGAGTGGAAACCTTGTGTGAACAAGTCGTTGGAAGGTATGAATATTCCCAAAGATCTAATGTGTCTTTATTTGTTTCAACTAAGAGGGCAATGCACATATTTGTTGCTTTATAATTTTGTTATTTCTTGAGTCAGGTGTTAGAGCCAGTATAGTGAGAACTGCACTGTTTCTCTGTATTCTTCGCCTCAAAATGTTCCATATGATGTGTTTTTGTCTCTCATATGCCTCGTGAGTTGTCTTGTTGTTTACGTGTCTCTCAGAAATCTGGTCTCCTTATACTCTTTATTATGATAGGCATACCAGCTTCTAATGGTTACATATATGTTGAGGCCAATGGAGGTTTGAATCAGCAAAGGACTTCGGTTAGTTTCATGCATAGACTTTGCTCCTACTATGTTTGTAATTGCTTGAATTTTGTCTGCTGAATTGCTAGTTCACAGTATAATTAGTGGTTGACAGTGTAATGGTTGTTTCATAGATATGCAATGCAGTTGCTGTTGCTGGCTATCTGAATGCTACACTCCTGATCCCTAATTTCCATTACCACAGCATTTGGAAAGATCCCAGGTGGGTCCATGTCTTTACCACTTCACATTAGCATAAAATTGTGAATATATGCTATATATACTGAAAAAAGAGTGTATTGACTCAACCTTGGAACTGTTGGATCTGCCGTGTCGTATACTTGAGTTGACTTGACCCTGTTCAAGGTTGTAGTTTTATTGGGAAAACTTCACAGCCATATTGAAGAAAATCAACAGTGTGTCATACTAATGCAGAATCCAACATGTCTTGTCGTTGTTGTTAATCTATGCATAGGGTTTAATGGCTCTGGGCTTTCTGATAGTAAAATTGATCATTTCCCGGATGCTTGTAGGCATTTTCCCCATAAGTGTCTTCAGAGTTACCCCTTCTTTTTTGTTCCTTTCAATCTAATTTTTCTTTCACTTCTTGATTCCAGCACATCTGCCATGTTGCAACATTTTTTAACAGATACTTAGCTCATCATATACCAATAGATGCTCTATCTTATAATTCATTGTTACTATTTCCTTGCACAGTAGGTGAAGGATAATCTTCGATCAATACTAGATTTGGTCTACCTTGCTTCAGTTTAGTAATCACTTGGGTTTTCCCTTGGTTAACTTAATTGTTTATTGGTTTCAGCAAGTTCCAAGACATATATGATCAAGAATTTTTTATCAAAGCCTTACAAAATGAGGTGAGGGTGGTTGATAAGATTCCAGTATATCTAATGGAGCGGTTTGATCACAACTTCAGCAATGTATTCAACTTCAGAGTAAAAGCATGGTCACCTATTGAATATTACAAAGATGTAGTCCTCCCCAGGCTACTCGAAGAAAAGTAAGGCTACAATACTAATTCTCTTCCAACATATTATGTTGACTTAAATCTAACCAGTTTCTCATTGTTTGTTGTTTTTTCATGCTTTGCATTCTTGTTTCAGATGTATTTATTTTCTTCTATTCTAGAGTTCCTTGCCGTGTAGATTGTCGTACAACTGTTATGCTTTGTTCTACTTGGCCTCAAACCTGCACATATATTTTTCCCCTACAAAATGAAAAAAGGGCTTATTCTGAAGCATCTTTTTACTATTGCTATGTTTTTGGAGTTGATAACTTCTTCCGGTATTGGAAAGAGCTTGTGCTCACTTAGTTCCAAGTTCGAAGTCCTGATCCTTGTCAACATTTTGCTTTACTAGCGAACAAGGGCTTGTTTCAGTGGTAATACTACTGGTCTTGAACTGGGAGGTCCCAGGTTTGAATCCCTCAAGTAGCACTTAACTAAAACCAAACCTATATCACTCATAATTTTTTTTTTTTGCTTTACTACTGAGCCAGATTGGGCTTCTGTTTGTCTTGGCAGGAAACTTGCCCCTCTTCGAAATTGGTCATCATCCTTTTGTTTTATATGCTTCTTTGGTGGTTACGAATGCACTTGAAGCATTTCGATGTCTTGTTCATCGAGTCTTGTTCAGAAGTTCTTTTTTATGAATTGACCTGAAGTTGTTCACTCTTATCACACTTTTTCTATTCATATGAAATGTGTGCCTGTATGATATGTATTGATGAGTTTTGAAAACTATTAGTGTTCTGGTGGATGCTAACTGTACATCTATGTTTGATGGATTGTACTATGTATGCTGTTACCTGCTTCTGAGCAACTAACTGCTGGCCAATGTGTGTGTGAATTTATATATTTTACATTTGCTCCATATGACAGGGTTGTAAGAATTTCTCCATTTGCGCACCGTTTATCATTTGATGCTCCTCCAGCTGTCCAACGCCTTAGATGTATGGCAAACTATGAAGGTCTAAGATTCTCAAACCCCATATTGACAATGGGGGAAAATCTGGTGGCTAGAATGAAAGAACTGAGTGCAAGCCATGGTGGGAAATATGTTTCTGTGCACCTGCGCTTTGAGGAGGTTGGTTATCATTTAATCAGAATTCTAGTTGTGTTTGTTTATGGTTAACTTTGACAGTAGTTACATAATTTTCTGTTTGATATTGATCTTGACTGCTATTAAATTTATTATCACATGATCAGGACATGGTTGCTTTCTCTTGTTGTGTGTTTGATGGTGGTGCCCAAGAAGATAGAGACATGAAAGCTGCTAGGGAAAGAGGCTGGAAAGGGAAATTTACAAAGCCTGGTCGAACCATACTTCCTGGAGCCATCAGGCTTAACGGGAAGTGCCCCCTTACTCCCTTAGAGGTAACTTATGCTATTTATATTTCTGCTTCCTTCATTTGGTTCCTATTTTCAACTTGAATTTTTTTGAAACTAATCTGAAATGAGCAAGAACTGGAAGTTTCCATTTTTTGTAGGATTATTGTATCAGCAATAGGAAATTGAAAATAAGATGCCATGAATTTTCGATGCTGTAAATTATTTTCTTGTTGTATACTCCTATTCTATCTATTTTTCCCATCAATTGAATTTTTGTTTTTTGTCCAGTGAATATGGTGACCTTGATAAATTTTCATCATGGGCATAGACCACAGCATTAGGAAAAGAGCATCTGCAGTTTTTATTTCTTCTTATTTTGCGTTCTGTCAATCTACCTAGTACCATAGATGAATTCTGGCAGAAAGCTTTCCACTTCTGATTCCTAAGTAATCAAATTTGTCCGCACAGTTGTTTGTCCAAGTAACTGTCCGCATGCCAATTATCAATATGCCCCCCCCCCCCCCCCCCCCCCTCCTCCCTAGAGTAATTGAAGGCTTAGATTATCAATAGCTTTTCCTAATATGGTTTCCATTTCCATCGCTTACTGTATAGTTGTGAGTTTTGCTGCTTGTTTGAACAAATATCTGTGATTAACTTGTTCATCAGCAACTGGATCTCCTTGGTGAATTTGCAGTACTCTTACACGAGCTTCATGTGGTTCTTTACTCTTTACCTATCTCATAAATTGATATACTTTCTATCTCTTCTTAGGTTGGTCTGATGCTTAGGGGAATGGGTTTTGGCAAGGACACATATATATATTTAGCTTCTGGAAAGATTTACAATGCCGAGAAGTATATGGTTCCATTGTTGGAAATGTTTCCAAATTTGCAGACAAAGGATACACTAGCAACCGCTGAAGAACTCGCACCATTCAAGGTTCAGACTCCCCTAGCCTGCTTATTATTTCTGTTAATGTTATGAGTAGTTTTTCCCCCTTTTGGATGGTCTTGTCAATGTTAACTCTTTTGAGTTCCTGCTGTCAGAATTTTTCTTCCAGGATGGCTGCAATAGACTACACTGTTTGCCTTCATAGTGAGGTATTTGTGACAACTCAAGGTGGCAACTTCCCTCATTTCTTGTTAGGCCATCGGAGATTCTTGTATGGTGGACATGCCAAGACAATTAGGCCAGACAAGCGGAAGTTAGCTTTGCTGCTTGATAATACATCTCTAGGGTAAGTGTTCTCCCTTTCGATTTCCATCCCTGTAAGTAGATCCACTGTTTTTGTGAACTTATTAACTAGAAAAACATTAGTGCAGCAATAGAGAGAACCTGCGGACAGTTAGTTACTCAAGAACTGAAATTTCATACTTTGTCAAGAAATTAAGATAAAATCAGCTCCATTGCACTTCAGTGACTTCACGCATTCTGTGTTGATATCTGGCCGCATTTCTTGCATATACCCAGGTGGAAGAGTTTCAAACGGCAAATGTTGAACATGCGGTCTCATAGTGATTCCAAGGGGTTTGAATTCAAGAGAATGAATGACTCGGTATATTCTCATCCATGCCCTGACTGCATGTGCCGGATCAACAAGGCAGTAGAATTGTCGTGACCCTAGCCGGGAGAGATATTTTGGGTTGGTTGGTTTCTTCTTTGATCAGGAAGTAAGATGGTGATACATATTTAGCTCGCTGCTGCTGCTGTTGCTGACGGCCCAACTTTTTTTTATTAGCGTGGGTGTGATTCTTTCATTATTTCTTTTTCCTGCCCCAATTTTCCAAGTTAACAGCAAAAGTTAGTGTCTGTAACCCTTCCAAGTCCTGGGGATGCTTCATTTCAATGGAGGGTTGCAGAGCTCGTGGTAGTAATGGGGGATCACGATCCTGTGGTCGATTAAATGTTGACCAGAATTATGATCGATCATCTTGTATTTGCATATGAAGATGAAGCTGGGAAGAGGAGGAAGGAAAATCGTGTTTCTTTGTTAAAAGGTCAGTTGCAGGCAGGCAGAGGCAGAAGATCTTCCTTTGTACCTTAACCAAAAGGAAAGCTGTAACATTCATAGGATGGCTAAGGAGGGGGTTTTATCTTCTTTTTTTTGTTCGAATGCTTGTGTGTAAATTTTGTCAAGAGCTTTTAGGTGTTTAGGGAAGGGCCCCTAAAATACAACAAAGGAAAAAAATCTGTGTAAGACAAGAGGCCCTTCCCATCTCTCCTTAGAAAAATACGGTACAGTCACAGGGAGCTATTCACTGTACATTTCACGGGGAAACAATGGAATACTTTTGGCCGAGTAGTTCGGATTTTGGCTTCTTGTTTTAGCTCCCTGTCACACCTAGTGGTTCGTTTTCTTTTTAAACAATAGATAATCGTATTAACTAAACTAAAGATAAGAGATTACATTCTGAAGTCAACCCAGACACAAAAATAAATAATATGACACGAGGTTGGAGTCGAAGAAAGGGCATTTTGAGCTACAAGATGTGCTACCTTATTGCTAATCCGACCTACGAATCAAACATGAAATTACTATTTAGTGCCAACATACATATAATTTTATCAATAATGACCCCAACACGATTATCCTGCGCGTCCTTCAAAATTAATCATGTCAATTACCACCTTAGTGTCGCCTTCAATTTGAACCTGAGTGAATCCACAATCCTGACACCACTAAATAGCTTCCCGGAGGACAATAGTGTCAACCTAAACATGGTCATCCATATCCTCAAAAGACAACCCCCTGGCTAAGACCACCGAGCCCCCTTCATCTTTCAGGATTATCCCCCATGTTGAATGTGATCTGACACATATTGTACCATCCCACATACATGTAACAAAGGGCGAGCCACCCGCATCCAAACTATGCAACGACGGGAGCTGATTCGGAGGCAACCTATCTTTTGGCAAATGACTTCATTCCTAGAGTTCCTGTTGGTATTGACGAATAAGAGGAACAGTTGGAAATTGCTTTCCCTAAAAAAAACCTAATTTATGGACTTCCAAATCCTCCACATGACCGCAACCAGAGCCATAATTTGATCAGGCTGAGTCATCTGAAGCGGGCATTTCTTGAGGAAGAAGGGGTGGGGGGGGGGGGAGTCTAACAAGGTAACCCTTGTCCTAGATGCTCTAGACTAGAATGAATCCAAAGGGCTCGAGCAATTGGGCATTCCAAACAGAGATACTCCATCGTTTCAGATTCCGCCAACACACTAGACAACGAGGTAGCACCTGGACCTTTTTCTCAATAAGAGCTTCCATAGTTGGGAGAATATGGTGGAAAAATTGCCATGGAACTAATGCCATATTGACTAGCACGATATTTAATTCCCATGGTCCAAAAATGAAGATTAGAATTCAACGATTTAGAGATCAATTGGGAGTGTTCTTAATGGATAAAATGAGGGTAATGTTGATCAATAGCTGCTGCCTATTCGTAAAGACAACTACACATGAAATGAGTCATTCTAGTCGATATCGCATCATTCCCTCTCTCTTGAAGAAGATTCGCCCTCGAATCTTGATAGAATTTTGATCTCTGATCAGCGCAACTCTTCTTGGCTTTCGAACCGAATTGTCTTGGTTCGGTGGATTGTATTAGGAACAATTTCAGCTTCTGAGGAATCAAAAGATCCCACATACCCATCCAGCTAGTTCTATCCATCCATCTCACTGTTGGTCGCCACCCCCTAACTGTCTATCCATCAAAACCGCAAGGTGATATGCAGACTTGACCGTAAACTCTCCATCACACGTATCGTACCAACCAAGGAATCCTCAATCTCCATACGTGGTAAAGGAATCGCTTTAATGGAAGGAACTGTGTCCAGTGGAAACATATGCACAAGAGATTGCCGACGCCATCTTCCTCCCCCTGGAACCATAATCTCGGCTACCTTAGGGTCACTTCCCTTCGGAATTTCAAAAGGGTAGCAAAGAGGAGGCTGAGAGTGAGAATTAGGGACCCAACTAGATTGTTGGATAGAGGCTTGAGGCCCATTCTCAATCTACCAACGCAACCCTCGCTAAAGCAGGAGGCGACCATGAAGAATGCTCTACCATCCCCACGATGGACAGGACCGCGCGACCGTTGTAAGGAACGTGCCTGTAGGATTGTATTTCCTTTATAAAACTAGGCTAGAAGAGAATGAGGTTCATTGTGAATTCGCCAACCAATCTTAGCCAATAGAGCTTGATTAAAATGTTCAGAGCGATGAAATTCCATCCCTCCATCATGTTTACTCCTACACAGATTCTGCCAGGAAATCTAGCGAATACAAGGACGACCCCCTTCAACCCCCACCAGAATCGGGACACATGTTTATCGAGAATCTGACATAGTGATAGTGGAAGCTTGAAGCAAGACATAACATGGTGTGGTAAAAAAGCAGCACTTGACTTAATCAGCGTCTCCTTTGCTGCCCACGAGAGCATTTTCTACTTCCAGCCATGTAAACATTGCAAGAATTTCTCTTCCAAGTATCATAATGTAGCCATTTTGGACTGAGCAACCAAGGTAGGCAGACCCAAATATTTATCGTACACCCCTACCGCTCCTACTCCGAGTCGATGGGAAAGGATTTCTTTATCTGTAGGCAAAATATTCCTAGTAAAACACACTGCTGATTTAGCAAGGTTAATCCGTTGCCTACTAAGCTCCTCATACTCATTCAATACCCCAAGTAGATTTTCACATTCTTGCATCGAGCCCCTGAGAAATAAGTATGAATCATCCGAAAAGAACATATGGGAGATGCGCGGAGCTCTAGGGCTAACCCTAACTCCAGCTAGCTTCCGGTCTTCAATGGCTTTTCAAATGAGTGTCGCAAACCCCTTCGTACAAATGAAAAAGAACAGGGAGATAAGGGATTATTACCTTATGAAAGTCCATGCGACAATTTGAAAAAACCAGCGGGTGTACCATTCATAAGGATAGAGAAAGACGAGGAGCTTAAACACTCCTGAATCCACCATATCTAAGTCAGACTAAACCCATTTTGTCCAAAACCGTGAGTAAGAACAAGCACTCGACTCTATCATAGGCTTTTTCCATATCAACCTTCAAAGCCATATATCTCTTCTTAGTTGTTACCCTTTGTTTTTATCTTCATGTAATGCATCAATTGTTGCCCAATAAGGACATTATCCACTATCTGTCTCCCACGAATGAAAGCATTTTATCCCGACGAAATAATCTTGGGGAGAAATTGAGCCAATCGTTCGGACATTATTTTGGCAATGATTTTGTACACAAATTGGCACATACTGATAGGTCTCAACTGTCATATACTTTCCACATTATCCACTTTAGGGATACACGCCAGCCAAGTGTGATTAAAGCTTCATAACATCTGATTCGTTCGAAAGAACGAGCAAACTGCTTCAACTACAAACTCATCGATGATATCCCAAAAAGATCTGAAGAATTTTCCAGTGATTCCATCCGATCCCAACGCCTGTTTGGAACCAAGAAAGAAGACCATTCATCAAACTTCCGACGCCAGGACTACTGTTGTCAGAGCATCAGTCATCTCAATTGTTACCGTCTGAGCGATTGATAGAAATATCTGCCTTCCCCATTTCATCAGTGATCCATTCACCTGCCCCATTTGTCCAACCAACCACGAAATTTCGCTTCCTCCTCACCCTTGTGACCGTGTGGAAATAAGAAGTGTTACTATCACCTTTCTTAAGTCACCAGACCCTCAATTTCTGTTGCCAGTAGATTTCCTCAGCCTCCCATTGACTACTTAATTTCGTCTCAAGATCTCACACCTTATCCAGTTAATAGGAATCACTAGCTTGACCTGATCAATCTAATTCTGGAGGGTTTTAGTGTTTCTAAGATAATTCGTAGTACCAGCCCTACTCCATTCATTTAGGAGGCGAAGAAGGCGTTTCAAACGAATCCAAAGTTTATAAATTTGGGATCTGTGTACATCTTCATTCCACCTTCGCTCTTCGGTCTCATATATTCTAAACCTTCGCCCTTCGAGCTCATATTCTAAACCTTCGCTAGTAACCTCAAGCATGAGGGAGCTTTTATTCTTATCTTTCAGTATTTCTACAAAAACTTTTAAAAGGACAATTGGTAGTACAACCCTAGGGGTTTGTTGGATTAGAATTCACGCAACTAAAGATCAAATTCAATGAATTGATATTCATAGGACAAGGCCACCTGAAAAAGTCAAAATACTTAGCCAAAATTTAGGGTTCTTCAATCCACTTGAGATGGCTTCTTTGCCAATCAATTTTGAATGGAAAATTATACAATCCAGGATTGTATCAAGCCCCCTCTCTTCAAAAAGCTTTGCCCTCAAAGCTTTGTCCTTCCTTTGCTCAAATGCTTCACAAAATTGACCCTAAATTGGATCGAAAGAAGGCTGCCCAAACTGACATTCCTGGAAAATTAGGGCACTGTTCTTCCTCGAAGAATTTGGGGCTTTCTTCTCCAGGGATACACAGTCGAATTCGTGGTCACCAATGGCTTCGCCTTGCTTCTAATTGATGTTTTGGGATGGTATCATACCTCGACTCGTCGTCTGCATCGTAGAATCGTCACTTCCTTGTTTCCCGCAATCAACGATTTTCAAATTCCCGGAACCCAACAAGTTTAATTCCGATTTGGGCGTTTGCATTCCAGGGATCTCTAACTACATTTGAAGCATCTTACAACTTCAGACATCCTTCCCGAACAATTATGCATTAGCCACTTGCATCGATTCATCCTCAAACGCTTAATCATTAGAATCGATTTTTCATTGAGTTTGCTTGTTTCTAGAGCAAATTTTGCTCGATTCGGATTCTGCAATGGAGGTATATTCGACCCCATCCGGTCCAGGAAATAGTTTCCCGACGTCTCCTGAAATGTTTATGCACTTTCGGCTGCGTTAGAGGCTCCCCCGAACTCTCCGACGAGATCACCCTCTCTCCTCCTCTACTCCGGTGAAGGTTTACAGGGTCGCCGTCGACGAGACTTCCTTTCCTTCTTATATCTGGTCAACATAAAATCGGTTTGCCGCCGTGCCTGACTTTGTAGCAGTTCGTGCCTCCATAATGGCACACTCTCCGGTTGAATTGCCACAGCATGCCCAACAAGATATGAGTTGCTTGCATCGGAGCTACATCAGACAAGAGTTCATCCTTGTATTTCCCAATTTCCAATTGAACTCGAGCTTGCTTGTTGACTTTGATTCCACCGTAGTCGTTCAACCAGTCTAGGTTATATGGCTCAGGGTGCTTGCTCATGCTTAGACCAAGTTTCTTCACGACCTCTTGACTGATCACATTCGAACAACTACCCCCATCAATGATTAACGAAAGCAGATTACCTTGAACAAGGCATCAAGAGTGAAACAGGCTCTCTCACTGACTTGTGTCCTAGGATTTTTCGATTGTAAGAGCTTGTCGGTTGACTGCCATCAGCTTCCCAGTTGGGGCTTCTTCCACTTCAATCTCCTCATCGACCTTTTCTTCATCACTGAAGCCAGACTGCTTTTCGTCAGTGATGTATTCGCCATCTCGGATGACTAAGGCCTTGGAATTGGGGCATTGATTTGCCTTATGCCTCTACCATGGCATTTAAAGCATTGGATTCCCTCAAAACGCTTTGTAGGAGCTGGATTCAAGCTCCTGGGAGCCAATTTGGTGACTTCAGACCTTGTCGAAGGCGAATTGGTTTTAGAAACTCGCCTCTGCCGTTGTCTTCACCGTCGGGGAAATCGTCGGCCCAACGTCATCTTCTGATGCTTCTCTATCTTCACAACAAAGTGTACTGCTTCTTCTTGGTCGACAAAGGACCTTAAGTTGACTTCATGTAAGATTTCGCGACTCAAGCCGTGTAGAAACTTCGAAATCGAAGCTTCCCTGTCTTCATGGACACCAACTCGCATTAAGAGCAATTCGAGCTCTCAATAATAATCCTCCACGTTCCTAGTTCCCTACCGAATTCCCTGCAGAGATTCGTGGAGCTAGCGCTGGTAATACGCAAGAACAAAATGATCTCGCATCAAGCCACACAGCTCTATCCACGTCGCAATCTTCAGCTGTAGATTTCGCTGTCGTCGGAGACAAACCTGCTCCCACCACTGTGCATCGTAATCACTAAATTCGTAAGTAGCCAACGCTACTTTATGTTGCTCTGTATAATGCTCACACTGGACGAAGAGGATCGGTTTTCGTTCCCAGTCCAGGTAAGCTGCTGCATTCGACGTGCCCTGAAATGCCGGAATCGACAATTTGATTCCAGGGGGAATTGCCGGCTCTGCTTCATGGTGATCACATCGCTCTCGTTGCTGGCGATCGTGATGGGGCTCTGCCACGACTAATCTTCATTCAAGCTCCTCGATTCGACTCAAGAGATTTAGGGTTAGGGTTCAGGTTTATAATTTAGAATTTGGGGTTGGGGTTCAAAATTGAAGGTTAAGGGGTTAGGGTAATAGATTGTAGTTGTGATTTTATGTTATATAATTATATTAGACTAATACTACCAATTAAAGTTCAAAATTCGATGTATTATGGCCACTTTTAGAGTTGGGTGCGTTGAATACATCCAAAAAAGTGAGTGAACCGAAGTCACTACTATATATATTAGCTTTGGTTTGTATTATGATTTTTTTTATTGTTACCGATTGATGAATAGAAAACAGTTTTTCTTTGCCTATTTGTTTGTTAAATAATTTAATAGTTTTTTTAATAATTGAGATTTTTCTCGTCATTAAGAAGAGACTCTACTAAAAAAACGTTGAGCATTTATCCAAAGTTGAGAGAAGTAAAGATCCGTCGTCTCGTAACATATGGATTCCCCGAGTTAAGTGGGGGCGTGTGGTTGAGAGGCAGTGAAAGCGAACCACCTAACAATGAAGAATCTCGGCCCCTCAACACGGCGAAGAAGACACAGCAACACAGCCCCAGCAATGCAAAGAAAAGAAATCAGCACCAAATCAATTTGGATAGGGGTACGCGTCTCGAGGTTCATCCATCCATCCATCCATCCATCCATCCATCCATCCATCCATCCACCCACCCTTTTATTTTTTATTTTTCTGTTCAATTTTGGTTTTTTTTGCTCTCTGCAGTCTGCACCAAATAATCAAAATTATTATTATCATTTTTCCTCCCTCTTTTGTTTTTGTTGTCTTTCCTCTCCCAGTCGTGTCCTCCCCCAGATACCAATTTTCCCAGCAAACAAACACCACTTGCAATTTGCCCCCAGCGCCGGATGCTCCCATTCCGAGTCCCGACTTTTCGTTAAAAATGATAATTTAACAAATTGTTTGAGAATTCTGCCCATTTTGGTGGCCACCCACACAACCACAACAACACACACTTGCGCTGTTCTTTCTCCTTCACTGGGATTGGACCGCTTCAGCCTGGTTTTTAAACTAGTATATCACATCCGTTAATTTATATTCTAAACTCTGCACCAGGCAGGAGCTCCCCTTTCCGTATTTGTTATATAGAGGTTTATTAGTTCCCTTCCTTTCCCATATCTTCGGCGCAGCACCGTAAGATTTTGAAGGAATCCCAGTTCTGATTTTGTTTGTTTTCCCATACCCTTCCGTCTTCTTCCCGCCGGCCGCCTCGCTAGGTCTTCTGTTTCTGTGTGTTTCCCGCAGACCAAGGTGAGTGTTTCTCCCCCCCTCCTGCTTTTACTCTCCTGGGTTTGGGTTTTTCATTCAATTTCCCGTTGAGGGTATGCATGCCCTGGATTTGGGTTGGTCAAAGGTTGCTTCTTTTGCCCTGTATTCGTGTAGGATCCTTACCTACTGTTAAGAGTTCCTGATGGGTTAGGGATTGGCAATGTTTGGGGATGGGTAAATTCTTTTTTTTATGGACGATGATGCAATTTGATGGCCTTGTATTGTGTGTGAATCTGTATGGCGTTTTGCTCAACTTGATCCTTCACAAAATATAACTGGGTTGCAACGATTCAAGTCGATTTCATGCGCTTGATGTTCTTTTAAATACTGAACTTGTCCTCCAGAGAATTATTCCTAACATCTTTTGGTTGGTTTGAACCTTGAACTAGACCATGTTGGACAAAGAGTTTTTCACCGAGTATAGCGAGGCAAGCCAGTACGATATTCAAGAAGTGGTTGGGAAAGGAAGCTATGGGGTTGTTGCATCGGCTATAGATACTCACACTGGGGAGAAGGTGGCCATTAAGAAGATGAACAACGTTTTCGAGCATGTCTCTGATGCCACACGCATCTTGAGAGAGATCAAGCTCCTTCGCTTGCTTCGCCACCCCGATATTGTGGAGATCAAGCACATAATGCTTCCTCCATCACGAAGGGAGTTCAAGGATATCTATGTGGTCTTTGAGTTGATGGAATCTGATCTCCATCAGGTAATTAAGTTGAACAACGATTTGACTCCTGATCATCACCAATTCTTCTTGTACCAGCTTCTTCGAGGTCTAAAGTATATACATTCAGGTAAATTTCACGTTTCTTGATTTCACTCCCTTCACTTTGTACTCATGAGTTTCTCTGCTTTGCTTGATGGATGTTCTAATGGCTCTAACTGGTGAACATTCTGCAATAACAGCTCACGTCTTTCACCGAGACCTGAAGCCGAAAAATATTCTGGCCAATGCCGACTGCAAACTGAAACTTTGTGACTTTGGGCTTGCTCGTGTGTCATTTAGTAATGCCCCTTCCGCTATCTTTTGGACAGTATGTGTCAGTTGGAGTAGCGTTGTTGGGATATCCTCTCTGTAGCTCTGTCTGCTAATGCGTTGTTCCATATTTTTGCAGGATTATGTGGCAACCCGATGGTATCGTGCCCCGGAATTGTGTGGCTGCTTTTCTTCCAAGGTTTGCTGATGGAAACTTATATAACTCAATATGTTGTTACTTAAAGGTGCTCTTGGGAGTTCGTGACTAGTATTAGGATAATTCCCTGTCACGTGTGTGCATTTCTCGTGCTGTAGGCATTCATTATTCAGTTGGAACTTATAAGGGACCAAATATTTATCTCAAATATCTGCTTTTGGCTTCTTGGATTGGTGTCTAGTTGCTCTTCTTGAACTTGTTGTGTTTGCACTTGTTTTGTATTTTATGCCAATGCGCTTTGTAGTCTAGATACGTACATTTTGTTAATGCAAGCTTTTGCGTTTCTTTATCTAGAGAACTAACGATCATTCATTGTTTTTTCTTCGAGTAGATTGATGTGCTGTCTTAGTAAGTTATTGTTTGAAGACGGCTTTTGATAATTCATTGTTTTTAGTGGAAAGGCAATGACTGTTTACTGGTTCTTTTTGAGTTACCATTACTAACTTTCCTTAAAACGGTCCTTTACTAGCCATTTGGTACAGTTTGGTTCATCTTATTATTTTAAACTGGTTGCTCGAAACTCAAGATATAGAGAGCCACATGTAGTTTGAGATATTGCTGTATAGAACAAACTTTCAGACAATGTATTGAAGGGTTTGTTTGTTTCTTTTTCTTTTCCAGTACACGCCTGCAATTGATATTTGGAGCATAGGATGCATATTTGCAGAGTTGGTAACAGGCAAGCCCTTGTTTCCTGGGAAAAATGTGGTCCATCAATTGGATCTCATCACTGATTTGCTTGGCACTCCCTCTCCCGCTACCATTTCACGGGTTTGTTATCTGCTCTTCCATCATTGTATATGGGGTGCACTGACCATAGACTTTTGCTTGATTTTTGAGAAGTTCGAGCAACTTGTTTGGCTGTTTACATTCTGATCGTTGGTCCAGATCGGGAATGAAAAAGCTAGGAAGTATCTGACGGGCATGAGCAAAAAGCAACCAATTCCATTCACCAAATATTTCCCTGGGAAAGATGCAGGGGCTCTTCGCTTATTGGAGCGCATGCTAGCGTTTGACCCTAAAGATCGTCCATCTGCTGAAGAGGCAAGTCTCTAGTTAAACTAACTATTGTATGCTTCCTGCATTTTTGTCTTGCTTCCTTGGAAGATTTTGGGTTGATATCTATCATAAACATCAGCATAATCCTCTGTGCAGGCACTGGCTGATCCATACTTCTATGGCCTGGCAAATTTGGAGAATGAACCAACTAGGGCACCCATTTCAAAACTGGAGTTTGAGTTTGAAAGGAGAAGACTGACACGAGATGATGTAAGAGAGTTAATCTACAGAGAGGTACGGCAATTTCATGCTCTTGATAATTATGCGATAAATTTGGGGGTGTTTTGTTGCTCTCCTCTGTTGTTCCTCGGCTACTTAACATATAAATCAAATAGATCTTGGAGTACCATCCTGAAATGCTAAATGAGTATCTCCGGGGCATAGACCAGACTCACTTCGTGTATCCTAGGTAAGTTGAAAGCTTCAGGACGGTAAAGTACTTTAGTTGTGCGCCTACGACTTGTCTTACCGTCTTGCATTTTAAAATTAACAGCATTACAGTATAATTGGTCTTATGCTCCTTTGGTGTCCCCTCTTGGTGGGTTTTGTGTGCCAAAATCTGGTGTGCTTTTTTTCCACATTTGGGTTGGGAAAACTAGCTGTATGGACTAACACCGGGTGAATCTTCTCTCTTATCAGCGGAGTTGACTGGTGCAAGGAACAATTTGCTTGTTTGGAGGATGAAAATGGCGATGTAATTGAAAGAACCAGCCCAGTACACAGGAAACATGCCACCTCTTTGCCAAGGTTTTTGCTGGGCGAAAAGACGTCTTTATTGTCCTTTATAGCTGTTCTCTCTTATAATTTGGTCTTCAAGTGATTCAAGCCATACACTCTTTTTCAATTTTCCTTCAGAGAAAGGGTGTGCACCATTGATGACCATGATGATCCCAAGAAGGGGGGCTGCGACTGTTGTCATGGTGGCGAGGATAATGCAAGGCCGAACTCCAGTAAAACTGCTTCTCCTCCAGCGACTGTACAGCGCCAGAGCCCTCGTGCACCACCAGCAGAGGAATCGACGCCGCTGCTGCCTTCTGCTAACAAAAAGAACAGCACATTAACCAAGAAGAGCAGCAGCGGGAATCCCATTACACCGACTTGCAGCAGTGGGCGCAGCCTGCTGAAAAGCGACAGCATTTGTGCGTCCATGTGTGTTGGTGTCGGTGGAAATGATCTGCAGGTTCATGCTCGGTGAATTTGAGAGATGTACGGTGGTGGCGGTACTGTTTCATTTGGTCTTTGGAACGCCGGTCGTGAATTCCTGCTGTTTTTACTGCTTGATGATGATGATGACGACGACGATAAGGGTACTGACGTTTGCGTGTAATTCTGGGTACATTGTTATATCTGTTTTGTACTGACCAGCAACCGTTCTGCTTTAATCTGGCTGTTCGATTTGGAAATATTAGCATTATGGCTAACGGTGCAAGAAGGGGAAAAACGAAAAACCTCCTCTCCGGAGCTATTTGTTCTTGTTTTTTTTCTTACGGTTATTCTTGTTTCTTTATTTGCTAAAGGCAGCTTTACTTTTACAATTATCGTCCTTAGCATCCTAACGAAAGCCTCAACAGTCTATACCCGCCAAATTTTGCCCGGTCAAAATTGGGATTTTTTTTTTGATGGAAAACCTGGGGTAAAAATTGGGATTTTAAGTTCATATAAAATGGAATATTAAGTAAAATTGAAAATTTGAATTAAATTTCAATCATAAAATTGTAAGTTTTTAAGGTCCATAGAACAAACACCAAATTTATAGGCAAAATACACTTGCATAGCCAAAACTTTCACCTTTGTGCCACTTGTAGCCACATTTGGCGAAATACCACTAATAGCCACTTCCGTTCGATTCTTTAACGCTGTTAACGTTAAGTGTGACTGGGCAAACGGAAGGGCTTACGTGTCAAGCCTGCGTTTTACACGTGGATAATAATTAAAAAAAAATTACAGAATCCTAATTTTTACTCCGTCGTTTTCTCCTCAGTCGAATTTTACTCCTTCGTTTTCTCCTCAGTCGAATTCACCCACCCATATTCGAAGGCGACGAATGTAGCAAAGTCGACGAAGGCGGCGAAGTCAACGAAGGCGACGATCTGCCTCCGATGACCAGCGTACCCAACCTCTCTTCCTTCCCCCACCATCGAAATACCCAAAAACCTCCAGTCCCGATTTTTCCTCCAGTCCCGATTTTCCTCCTTCGATAAAAACATCCATGCATCCAATGGGTTGACCAACCGGCGGCGAGCTTTGGCGGAGTCCTTCGAAGCTTGTTTTGTGTTGTTTGCTTTGAAGGAATCTCGGAATCGACCCTTGCAATTCGCGATTTGACTGGGTTCGTCGAAACCCTAATCGCACTTGAAAGGGGGATTTTTGCTCCCACTCTTGTGTCGCGACTAGTAAGGTTCTTTTCTTGCTTTGTTACTGTGGTTGTGGATTGCGGGGTGAAGGTTCCTATAGTTTACTGCTTCTCTTTGTTGTTTGGTTGGTATCGAGCTGTAAAGACAAGAAAGCGACACGGCAGAGGAATCTCGGGACCACTCGATTGATCATTTTTGGCGAGTTTGCCCCCATAATTGAAGGTCAATTAGTCGATGTACTGGGTTAGAATTGTCTATTCCTCTTTGATTCCCACGAACCCTAAAATTGAATACTGTTAGCATTTGTTTACCATTTGTTTGGTAGCGATTAAAATACTGACGAGGTTAATGGTGATTAAAAAACTAATTAAAGCTTGATGACAGATGGCTGATTCTTGGGACTCTGCTTTTGGGGAGAACGATCCAGAGGCTGTGGTAGTATAAGATTTCTCCTTGCCGGCAGAAGATGTAATTGAGGCTTCTGTTGCTATAGACATATACCACGTATATGACTCTGACGACGCTGATACTTCTAACGACGAATACCACGAAGCAAGGTCAAACCTACGAGCCTATGGGGAGATGAGGAAAAGGAAGGTTAAGGCGCGGATTGATGGCCATGGGGAGGAGGTCGAGCAGCTGGACGATTTTGAAGAAGAGGAATCTGATGATGAAGATGATGCTTTGGCTGATGAACACGAAGAGGAAGATCCTGCTGCCTCTCATGCTAATGAACGCGAAGAGGAAGGAGCTGTTGGCTCTCATGCTGATGAAGGAGTCCAAGCTAGTGAAGCACCTCAAGTTAGGGCTGGTAATCGGTCGGTATCCGGTATACCGGATACCGAATAGTCGGTATCCGGTATACCGGATAACATTGTGTACCCACCGAATACCGATACCGAATGTTATCCGGTATACCGGATACCGAATACTCGGTATCTGGTATTAATACCGGTATACCGAATACCGATTAATGCATTGAGATTATACCATTAGAATTCGAGATAAAGAAACTGACGATAGCATTGGAGATTAACTAATTGGAATCCAATTGAAGTTTATAGTGAATACTTGGAACTTGAAGCATTGGAACTGACTGACGCTCAAAGCATCCCCTTGGTGATAAGGAGAATTTGAGTTTAGGCAAAGGATTAGATAGTAGTGGTGGCGGCGGTTGGTGGAAAGGGATTTGCGGCCGATAAAGAAAGGGCGGGATGAATGTCCTGGGGGAAGACCGCCGGGGCGTGCTGTGGTGCCGCTGGAATTCGCCTCGGCGGGTTGGAGAAGAAGAGTTGAAGTCGAACAAAGGAAAGGTGGAGGGGCCGATGTGCTGGGCTGCGCAGATGTTGATTTAATTTTAGGGTTTACACGCCCCCCCCCCCCACCTCCCAATTTCAAACGTTGTCGTTTCCTTTTTTTTATTTTTGTTATTCGGTATTCGGTATACCGATTTACCGTCGGTATATGACTGGTCGGTATTCGGTATACCGTTTGGCCAAGAAATGCAGCCGAATACCGATTATAATCGGTTCGATACCCGGTATACCGAATACCGGTTTACCGAATACCAGCCCTACCTCAAGTTCAGGAAACAAGGGGAGAAAACTCAAACCACTCGAGTTATAGAGGATCTGAAGACTCAAACCACATCAGACCTAACCTATCCGACTCGGATGGTAGGGACATATTCGATGACGCACCGCATTATGATCCGCTTTGTGATCATACTGTTCTAGAGTTCGTGCCAAGGATGAAGTTTGCTAGTGCTGTGGAGTTCAAGGCTGCTGTCGGCCGTCATTCTGTAGCTGCCGGGGCTGGTTTGAGGTGGGTTAGGAGTAATCCATCAAGGAGGGAGGTTAGATGCAAGGACACGAATTGCAAGTGGAAAGTATATGCTAGCTGGTTCCGCAAGAACCAGAGTTTCATGGTGAGGAAGGCTGGTCTACCTCATTCATGTGCAAGAAAGCTTCGTGTCAACCAAGTAACTGCCCACTGGATTGCGAGTGACATGTTGGAACGGTTTAGAATTAATCCTGAGTGGGAGCCTGATCAAATTATGGCCGAGGTAAAGCTTAAACACAATATGGAAGTTGCGAGAAGAACGTGCTATAGAGCCAAAGTTTGCGCAATCAGGATGCTGGGAGGTTCACTAGTAGAGGAATACCACAAGGTCATATCTTACCTTGGTGAGTTGTTGAAGCGTGATCATCGAGGGACTTTCAAATAGGAAGTGGAACCTCACCATACACAAGAGAAGGTTTACTTCCAGAGAATGTATGTTGGATTCTCCTACTTGAGGGATGGTTTCCTTGAAGCCTGTCGTCCAATGTTCGGATTGGACGAATGCTTCTTGAAGGGAGAAATTAAGGGAATGTTGCTTACAGTTGTCGGGAAGGACAACAACAACCAAATGTTTCCAATTGCTTGGGCGGTTGTAGAAGGCGAGAACACAAACTCCTGAAGATGGTTTGTGAACACTCTCGCACAAGATTTAAACCTACATGATGGCAGGGGCTGGTCTGTCATCTCTGACTAGCAAAAGGTAATAAGTCACTGTTTTCTTTAGTTGTGAAATGCTATGAAAGTTGGTTATATTAATGTTGCCGTTGCATTCGTTGCCTTTGCAGGGTTTAGTGGAAGCTATTCATGAGCTGCTGCCCGAAGCAGAACATAGAAAATGCGCAAGGCACGTATACGCATACTGGAAAGTCAAACACAAGACTGATAGTGTTAGGAAATTGTTCTGGAGGGCAGTATACTCTTGCAATGAAGCTGACTGGAAGGTTGCTACTTCTGAGATTGAGGCAATTGAACGTGAGGAACGAGGTACGACACCATTTACTGATTTCATGAATGCAGAACCTCGAACTTTTTGCCGGGCTTATTTATCTCCTCTACCAAAGTGTGATTCGGTGGAGTCAAATATTTGTGAAACATGGAATTGTGTAATTGTGAAGTACAGGTGTATGAGAATAATAGAAATGTTAGAGGGGATTAGGGGCTATGTGATGGACAGGGTAGTAGCCAAATATAAGTTGCTGCATGATTCTAATGATGTGCTATGCCCTAGGATTAGAAAAAGAGTCGAGAAAGAGAAAGCATTGGCCAGATTATGCCGTCAAGACAGACTAGGAACGATCAGTGTGAGGTAAAATGGGAAGTGCAGGGTACATTGTTGATTTAGGTGCAAAGACTTGACAGTTTCGTGTTGTCTCCGCTATTTCACATATGAGGAAGGAGATTGACAGTTTCGTGGATAGTACTTATTACATATACAATGCTGAGCATGCATACAAGAATGGAATCCCTTGTCTAGACGGTAGACAGGCTTGGCCTACTGCAGTGGGATATCCAGTACACCCACCCAAGCAACGAACTATGCCCGACAGACCAAAGAAGAATCGAAGGAAGGCTGCACACGAACAGGAGGTTCGACCTGCACGAAATGGGATCGGAGAGGAGGTGGTTAGAAGGGGATCAATCATGCATTGCAAGAAGTGTGGCGGGGAAGGTCACAATACGAGAACGTGTACAGCTCCTACTTAGGTTGCCCCATAGGTATGATTAAATTCACTTTTATACACGATTGCAGCAGTGGTTTCTAATTAATTGTTGTTTCTAACGTTTTTCTCTGTTTTCTTTGGTATAACAACACCACTACACCTAGAGCAGCAGCACAACCTACAGGAAACAATGGAGCGAGAGGCAAACGACCAAGAACAGCAGCAAATCCAGTAAACAACGACAACACAGCTCAAAGAGCAAGAGTAGGTCACTGCTCCAAGTGCGGTTTTAGTACGCATAATGTACGAACATGTCCTCTAAACCGAGGAGTTGGTATACAAGTAAGTTGAATGGATTTGGCTAGAATATTAGGCTAATTGTGTTGATGAATTTGAACCTCAACAAGTTGCTGAATGTTCGTGTTGTGCTTGCTATGGTAGGACGTTAGGCTAAATGTTGCTGATCAGAGGACTGTTGAACGCGAGTTGCGAGTTGCCACAAGCGGAGTTGGATTCTACGTGTCAGAGCATACTGGGAACCAATACGTTAGAGTAAGTATTCATACGGTTAAAGGCTTGTTGTTATCAAAGATGAATGTAATGGCTGATTTTTAGAATTGTATTTCAGCTCAATGGTGCGAGAGGACGAGCGTTTGGAACCACGTAACCCACTGAAGTCTAGATGAATGGAAGTCAACCCCCACCCTCGCAGCCTTAGACCTGTATATCCATGAGTCAACTAATCTTTTTTGTGCAAGGCCATTAAGCTATTAGCTACCTCGCTAGAGGTTTTTTTTGGGAAAGATGACTCATGTATTGGCCTTTTATGAACACTCTCGGAGTATGTTA